GTTTTTTAAAATTAAGTGAAGGAAAACTCAAAGGGGAAATTAAGTGTTGACCCAGACCATAGTTTACAGTTAAGATTCGGTGCTCAGAGACAGTTTGCCAGAGATTATGGTCAGAGAGTTGTATTAGCCATAAATAAAGTTTCTATACTAGCTTGTATATGATACCAAAAACTGGAGTATCTGTAAAATAGCAGCACACGATAGGTAAATAATAATCATATTGAATAATTATATTGATAAATGTAACAATAAATGCAGGAAGTTGATTGAGCTTGAAACACGGCTTGAAAGCAGGAAATCTTTGTTACATTTTTTTTTGGTATGTGATGTTTTTTAAAATATACCCTTGCTTGTTTTGTATTAACACATACTGTAATTTTTTTAATAAAATAACTCGATTAGATTTTTTCAATTTTATACAGATTTTTTCACAATATTTTGAAGTAATCACTTGTCACTCAAATTTTAAATATATTAATTTTCTGCTATGCGTTCCAATTGTACCAACTTATTTCTTTCTAAAATAAAATAAAATACTTTGAAAATAAAATCAGACACAACTATACTCTGTTTTTTTTCTCAGGTAAGATTTCGACAGACGATGACAGAAGAAAAGCATATGACGTCCCATACCAATCTATTTATTTTACTAAAAAAAGTTTCTAATAATTTTTAAGTTATCTATTGATGGGTTTAAATATAAATCCGTCATGCGTCGTGTCTTGTTGTTTTTAACCAGTTTTATTGGTTTATTTAAAAAATGACAGATCGTATTTCAATTTTATTGGTTTGACGGAACGATGAACGACAAACGGACGCCGATGCGTACGAACTCGCCTTTAGATTTTTGTCATTTTTGACGCTTGTCAAAGTCTTGCCAAATTATAGGTTATAATTTTGTGTCAACTTTTGTTAAATACCCTGCGTTTTGGAAGATGATGCATTTTGATTCGTATTATTACGTGTGTTTTGTGTCTTTTGAAGTCAAGTGGAGAAAAAATCGAGTGAAAATTAACTGTAGACCCAGAGCACAGTTTATGGTTTATACTCGCTGCCCAGGCAGAAAGTTTTATACACCAATGAAGTTGCCATCGATAAAGTTTGTATACCATTTCGTCGTAGATAAGTGCATCTCGTATATGGTAGAAGGATCAAACTAAACACATACTAAAAACTGGAGTAGCTGTAAAATATCGACGTCACACGATAGGTAAATAATGGATTTTAGTACTGCAGAAAAATAATGTCAAAAGGTACTGGTTTAAAAAAATTAAGATTACAGTTAATTAATCAACCTTTAAGGTATAAAATTTGGTAGGTGTTATTATTAATAAAATAGTTTGTTTTATTTACCTATGTTGTTTTATTTATTCCTGTGGAATATTACAAATTTGTATTTGTACATAAGTTATATTGATAAATATAATCATAAATGCGGGTAGTTTCATAAAACTTGAAAGTAAATAATAGTTCTTTTTCATATTTTTTTGGTATGTAGTGTCTTGTTCTTGTTTGTTTTGTATTAACACATACCGTTTTTATAAATAAAATAACTCGATTACATTTTTTCAGTTTTATACAGTTTTTTTCACAATATTTTGAAGTAATCACTTGTCATCTTGTCAATCAAATTATAAATATTTCCTGCTATGCGTTCCAGTTGTACCAACTTATTTCTTTGTAAAATAAAATAAACTACTTTGAAATTAAAATGACAGACACATCTATCACTGTCAAGCATCTTCTCGTTGGACAGACTATATCACTGTCAAGGGTCTTGTCGTTGGACAGACTATAGCAGCAAGAGCAAACGCCATTAAAGTAAGAAGAGTAATTGACGTCTAGGGTTTAATCTCGCCAAAATTATTATCGATTGTCATTCCCCAAGCAGCCATTTGACGCCATTTTTTGCGATCGTACGGTACTTTACGTACGTAATGAGTTGTTAAACTTCTCCGACAGTGAAGCATTTTAGCAAGAACAAAATGAATTACAAACAAACCAGAAAGCCAACCCTTCGCGCTGGTGACATAATTTGGTGACAACATTTTGTGTTCCCTAATATTCAAATCTTGTATTTAACGTAGAAACGAGACTGAAAACGATAACCAAGGTAAGAAACGGAATTTAGACTAAAATTTATGACTCTCTTTGCTGCCTCTCTGGACTTTTTATATCTACTGTATCTAAAATAACCTTTGAAGGATGGTTTGTGCATTATTTACATATAATAGAGTTGCAATAATTTATATTCTTGATAAAACTTTCTGAAAATATGTTATTATACTAAAACATTTTGTTTTATTTTATTATTAAGTGTGAGTAATATTATAATTATAAATTTCATACTTGTTCTCTGCATATTTCAATATGTTGATTTATAACAAATACTAATTTTCTGACATCATTTACGTAAAACTGAATTTAATAGTTTGAGATAATTTTATGGTAAAACCTTTTCTAGCTTCTATGATTAATTTCCATTCACTCAATTACGTTCAATATCGAGTTAATCTATCGGTAAAAAAAAAGAGTGGATAAAGTCAGCATTAATAGAGTTGTCTAGAAAATTATGAAATCGGTTCAGCTCAGCGAGTTAGCTTAATTTAAGCAAAATGTAATTGTCAAATGAATTTTGGTTACTTTATAACTAGTTTCCCGAGTGTCCGACCATTTGAATTAACAGATTAAGGAAGGAGTATATCAAAAATATTAGATCGACCGCGACGGGACTCTAAAATGGCCGACTTTACTTCAGTTTGACCAGTGCCGGTCTAATTTTATTCAAAACGTTTAAAATTATCATGTAGGGTAGACATGGGATAGACTCAATCATTTGTTGTTTTCTTTTACGTTGTCAATAAATGTTGGTAGTTATTAAAATTGTTAAAAAAATATGCAATTCTAATAAAAATAGCTAAGTTATAATAATTGTTTATTAACACAAATATCCGGTACGCTACTGAATCAGGTAAGTCAAATTGACTTATCTAAATTTTTTGACATCTAATCTTTGACAAGTAGTATACCGGATGCGTCTCAAAAGTGACTTACCCCTATAACATTTTATTTTTTCAGATAAAACAACGATATTTGGTATGTTAGTATATGACATAAATTGGGATTGATAGACGTATTCAATTGTTTTCGGTCACTTCCGGTTTCACCGGGAATGCCTACAACTTTTGATTTTTAAATAGCACCCTCGGTATTTTTTTTTACTTTATTCGATAGAAAATGACACTCTGAATCGAATGACATATCATATGTCAACTTTTGACATTTTGGCATATGGTTTATTTGAAATTGTAACATGCGGTTCATAACGACAATTTGATTCAAAATACCAAGTGTGTGGTATCAAATTATTCGTAAAAAATGCTTTTTCCAAATATGCTAATGAGCCACCCTCGTTCCATTTGAAAAAATTGAGATATGATTAAAAATACGATTTGGGCATTTTTTAACCGGCCAGGACAAGACACTAAAAACATTAGACGATCAAATCTGTTTTTCCAAGGCTCCTTGATTAAAAATTAGTGTGTTTAACACAGCCATGGCACTCTAGATTGAAATTTAAAATAAAACTTGTTTTTGAGTGACTATGTCAAAAATTGACATATGATATGTCATTCGATTCAAAGTGTCATTTTCTATCGAATAAAGTAAAAAAATACCGAGAGTGTCATTTAAAAATCAAAAGTTGTAGGCATTTCCGGTGAAACCGGAAGTGACCGAAAACAATTGAATACGTTAATCAATCTCAATTTATGTCATATTCTAACATACCAAATCTCGTTGTTTTATCTGAAAAAATAAAAAAGTTATAGGGATGAGCCACTTTTGAGACGCACCCGGTATAAAGGCAAAGCTGCAAGCAAAATATATAATTAGTTAATTTTAAGTGAATTTCACAAATGGTGGGTTTACTACACGTATGTATATTATATAATCACTTACTACCGAAAAGTTATACCATTATTTCCCTCGATTTTTGATCCAGAGCTACCGCATGCTACACAATGGACTATTTTACAGTCCAATACAATTTTCTTCTAGATTTACTACCTTTATACAACTATCAGTAGTAGAATAAATAATAACATAAATTAAAAAAATCGAAACAAAAATAAAACTTCTCCACCCTGTATCTCCGAAATTAAGCATTTTAGGACATACATTTATACGAACATTTTTACTTATTTTTATCTGTAGAATATGCTGCCGAAGTTTCCGGAATACAGTTCAGACCACCCTGTATATTGATCTACAACTTCGAAACCTGCTACTTCTGTTGTATTCGTGGGTTTTCGATCGATACTCATTAATTTTGTTTTTCTTTTATTTAATTTTAACCCATATCTCTCGCTGATCACCTCTAATTTGTGCATAATTGATTTTAATTCATTAGCGGAGGATGCGAGTATAAGTGTATCATCTGCGTACCGTAAATTCGTTATTTGTTTACCGCCTATAGTGTACACCGTTGTAGTCTTCCATAACTTCCCTCATTATAGATTCGCCACACATATTGAAGAGTAAGGGAGATAAATGCATCCCTGGCGCACTCCCGCCTCCAAGTCAATTTGTATAATAATAATGCTAAATTTTCTCAAGAAATTATTCTGCTTAACACTAGTATAAACAAAAAATTACTTTGTCATACCTTGAATTGATTTCTAATAATGTAATACGTTAATCACCACATAAAAGATATTGATCTCTAATTTAAATGTTAATTCTTGATATATTCAGTTTTTTGTATTAATCATTTTTATTTTTAGCAACATTTTTAAATAATACGATAAAATATTAGATTGATTTATAGTGATAACTATCTAAAAAAATAATCAATTTACAAAAATTTAAATTATTTAATACTTATTATTAAATATTTTAATTGATTAAAAAAAGATTAATTACTAAAAAAATAAAAAAGAAGAAAGTTTTTCGATCAGTATCTCACTTAATATATTATAAAAAAATAATATTCATAGAACCTTAGTTTAGCTCTTGCTTCTTCAAGTTCGTTTCTGCATATTTCCCAAAATGTCCTCAATTTATCTCTTTCCATTTGAAAGAAATTTCTTTCTTCGCGTTCCCGTTCATTTTCTTCCTTTATTTTATGACAGAATACTTCTAACTGTTCTCTGGTCATCTGAGTCGTATCTACCCCATCAATAATAGCTCCTAAAAATAAAATAACAAATTGTAACAAAGAACAAAACAAAAATATTAATAAAAAAATAATTGAAAACTTCCATTGCCCATATTTTTAGAAGTACCTATAACTAGTTCCTAATAAGTACAAGACTGAATAAAACAACATGATCATAAAAATTGTAAACCAAAAAAAATGATGGCTATATTGTTTAACATAAAACAAATGGACAAAACATAAATTGCTAACTTACCAGCACCGCCTTTACCTCCACCTTTCTTCTTTGGGGGCTAAAACAATTTTAAAATTATAAAAACTGGTGTTATTTTGCAAACTATATATCTTACCATCTTGTAAATTTATATGTTGACCCTATAAACTGATATAAAAATAATATGTATAAAGATAATAAAAAAGTCTTTGATGCTAGATGAAGTTTTGTCAATAAATGGCACGTGTCAATAGGTTGCTAAGATACAAAGATACGATCATTACAGGGGTGTACAAATATAAAATTCAGAGCAATAGTAATACAGAGGTAGTAAAAAATAAATGAATTATTTTGCTAGCTTCGTGTACAAGGTTGTGGTTTTTCTTTAGTGCAGTTGTAAAGTAGTTATTACACGTTATTTTATACTTCTTCTCAGGGGTGGACTACAAGATTTAGAAGCCCTTACTTAATACTATGTGGTGGCATGTATATCATATTATTTTTTGGTTGTATAAAACTAGTTTTTGTAACTTATAAATCATAGTTCTAAATCCTTTAATAGCCAGGTTTAATTATGATAACTAAATATACAGGATAGTAAGAATTGTATTCAGGAAATTTCGGCAATATCTGCTGGTAAAAATCGCTACCAGCAACCGTTGTCAAGATATTTGGAATGGAAGTTAAAAAATACCTGTCATTTTGACAAAAAAATCATCAAGACAAAAAATAGCTATCAAGTCAACATGTTTATTTGTCAATGATGACATGCATTGATTATTTCTAGTTCTATTATCTTGACAAAAAGTCAGGCAAAAAGTAGTTACTCCTCAAAACAGTTAAACATACCGAGTGCGTCTCAAAAATGGCTTACCCCAAGTTTAAATATCTTTGGGCTCACCTCTATAACTTTTTTATTTTTTCAGATAAAAAAACGAGATTTGGTATGTTAGTATATAACATAAATTAGGATTGATTGACGTATTCAATTCTTTTTGGCCACTTCCTGTTTCACCGGAAATGCCTACAACTTTTGACTTTTAAATGGCACCCCGGTATTTTTCCACTTTATATGCAAAACCTCTAACTTTGGGGGTTAGGGAACTCAAAACCTGAGAATCTTTTCAAATTTTTATTTCAAAAATTAACATGTTTCGGGAATCAATTACTTCCCATCATCAGGCCTCCAAAGACATAAGTCACACCAAAAACCAATTCCGAAAAAATAAGACAATTTTTGGTTGGAGAACGTTTAGTTTTTTTACTTTATTCAATAGAAAATGACGCTCTGAATATAATACATAACATATCATATGTCAACTTTTGACATTTTCGCTTAAAACAAAATTATATTTTAAGTTTCAATCTAGAGTGCCATGGCTGCGTTAAAAACAGTAATTTTTAATCATGAAGCCTTGTAAAAATATATTTGATCTTCTAATGTTTTTAGTGTCTTCTCCTGGTCGGTCAAAAGGTGTCCAAATCATATATATTTTTAATCATATCTCGATTTTTCAAATGGAACGAGGGTAGCTCATTAGCATATTTGGAAAAAGTATTTTTTAGGAATAATTTGGTACCACACACTTGGTATTTCAAGTCAAATTGTCGTTATGAGTCGTATATTGCATTTCAAATAAACCATATTCGAAAATTATATGTAATTCTCAAGGGGTGTCTCACTATTGGAATTATATGTACAGGGTGGTCGAAATTGGTCTGTTTTAAGAGAGAAAATCTATTTCCTGACTAGATAGAGCAAAACCGACATAGATGTCATGGGCTCGATTTCTGAGACACGTTAAATAGCGTTAACCGCCTGATTATATTTTCACTGCCAACTGAGGTACGGGGTTACTTTATATCGTTGGAAAGGGTTAAACGCTAGCATTTTTTTAAGTTCATAGCCAACTATGATTTCCATTTAAAAAATTATGTTTTTTATTATTTCTGGCAAAAAGAGCAAGTATAGAAAAAAAACTGACTACGCCACGGGATTGTGCTTATAAAAGTGCCTTAAGAACGTTTTTACAGAATTATATTATTCAGCGAAATACAAAAGTTATGGGCAATTTTCCAAAAGGTAAAAAATTCAAAAAGACCCCGTATCCCAGTTGGCAGTGAAAATATCAACAGGCGGTTTACGCCATTAAACGTGTTTCAGAAATCGAGCCCATGAACATCTATGTCGGTTTTGCTCTATCTAGTCAGGAAATAGATTTTCTCTGTTAAAACAGACTAATTTCGACCACCCTGTACAATTGCTTGGCAGTCGCCGGCAGTCATTAGCAATCTTACGGCAGTCGCCTATAATAATTACATGGCAGTCATAGGCAGTCGCTTGGCAGTAAAACGATACTTTGACAGTACATGTACATTTTTACTCAAGTGAGATACTCCTAGGTCGTTCTATTCAGAGTGTTATTTTCTATCGAATAAAGTAACAACAAAATACCGAGCGTGTCATTTAAAAATCAAAAGTTGTAGTAATTTCCGGTGAAACAAGAAGTGACCGAAAACAATTGAATATGTCAATCTTCTTTCTCAGCCTGGTTCCATCCAGTGTTGGATATACCCTCTTTTAGGTTTTTCCATGCTTCGCGATCTCTAGCCATTGTCTTCCCGCCACTGCCCTGACGTCATCGACCTATCTCTTTTTTGGTCGGCCCACACTTCTTGTTGTTCCCCTAGGTCTCCATAGAAACGTATACAAATACGTCAATCAATCATGAATCAATCCTAATTTATGTCATATACTAACATACCAAATCTCGATTTTTATCTGAAAAAATAAAAAAGTTATAGTCGTAAACCACTTTTGAGACGTACCCGATATAGGTGTATAACTATGCTATTTTTTGAATGTCCGGAGTGCGGTAGACAGGTAACAGGGCTTTTCAGTCACAGAAAAGCTCATAAAAGAAAACGCCTTGCGTGACCATCTCCTGATGCGTGTCAAATACTCGTCAGCGAGTAACGACAGTATATGTATGTATAACTATGTTATTTAATAAAAAAATAAAGAAACAATATCACGGAAAACTAAATAAAAGAAAAATTTCGAAATTTTATTTCAAAAAAAATTTTGAACACGACAAAAAAAAAGAATATAACGCAAGCCAGAAAAAGGCGCCTATCTGCACCCTATAGACTTAGTCATCCAGGATTTGGCGATTCATCCATCAAGGTAGCTGTGAAATGGCCTTTTCTTATTTCAAAATGCAATGTAATACCCATAGTTATGTTACCTTAACAATACAAAAAAGACAAAAAATAAAATTATATTCCTCAAACGTAAATAAAATAAACAGAAATAAATATCGGCTTACCTTGCTAGAAAATGATTAGCCACAAACACATGTTTCTGGCCATCATCAGTACATTGCATCCAAATTAAATAAAAAGAAAACTTGGAAATGAAATCTACATATAGGGAAATTGGAACAATTTCCGTTGCACGTCATCAATGACACCATGCGTCGTCTTATGGAGTTTGCTGGTGGTCGTATTATGATGTGCAACGGAAGTTATTTTAATTTCCCTCTGTCAGTGCACTGGTTATCCGGCCAGCACTGGTCCTCGGCCTTTTTAGGATTTAAAGCTAAATATTAGTTAATCTAATCGCCGTTTATCCAGTCCAAATGGTAAAATAGATTCATGTATCATTTATGTATCGAAAGTAGTAGGGGTTAAGATGGAGCTATGCAACTAATAAGCGTGCGAAAAAGCCACAGTTCTTGGACGCGCAACAGAACAACATAGGTAGTGTTTCAAATGTAAATGTGCTTAATAGTGTGAAGCTACAAAATAGTAAGTATTTTAATATTTTTTTTACTCTAGTTACTTGTAATGTATTATATATGATGGGGGAAGGGTAAAAACATGTAAATATATGTCAAAACTAAGCAAAAATTGGGTTTTTAGTTAAAATTTTCAGGGGCCGCAAACCAGTAATTAAAAAACACGCTCTTTTAGTTCTCGACCAACATGGCCGAGAGTCAGTATAAAAAGTTATTTTTCAATCTTAAAAAAAACATATTTTGTCTTGTGTTTGTTATTTTTTTTTTATTTACTTATATTATTGCTTTTTAATTATTAGATTGCGGCCGCTAAATTAATTCGAATATAAAATATAATTTAATCAAAAATTATGTTTAAAAATAGTGACCAAAAACTAGCGTTTCTCGGCCACCATGAAAAATAGTGTGGCCGAGAACCAAGATCACTGTAGATTTCGGTTCTCGGCCGCTAACCAACTCTAATCCTTTTGATTTTTTTCAATGGCTAGGGAAACTAGGAGAAATAAAACCCAGGGTAATAAATGATGGTCTATAAAATAGGTAATAAATGATGATCTCCTAGATGAAACTAGGAGAAATAAAACCCAGGGTAATAAAACCGTCTTGATACGACCTAAAGTATCAAGGATTAAAAGGAGGATGTACCAATACACAGAGGAAGATCTCAAGAATGCTCTGCGTGAGATCCGGGAAAAGAAGGTGAAAATAAAGGAGGCCAGTCGAAGATTTAATGTACCAAGGGCGACGATCCAGAATAGAATCAAAGAAAGAGTACCCTATCTTCTGAGGAAGCCCGATTTATGTTCAACGCCGAAGGAAAATTTGCTCCTCCACTTCTGTTATTCTCTTATGTGCGACTTCCCAGGGCTGTTATTGCCAATATGCCGAGCTGTTGGGTGTTAGGAATGTCAGAAAGAGGATGGATGACATCTGACGTATTTTTTGAGTTTATCAATAATGATTTTAACAAATGGCTGATTACAGAAAATATTCCGAGGCCTTTTATCCTGTTTGTGGATGGGCATAAATCCCATCTCACTATGACAATTAGTGAGTGGTGCCACAATAATGAAATAATTTTATATGCCTTCCACCTAACATCACTTACATGCTCCAGCCTGCTGACGTTAGCATCTTCAAACCGATGAAATCGGAATGGAAAAAAACAGTTTGTAAGTGGCAGAACAAACCCGAAAATCTAAATTGCAGGGTGACAAAAATTAATTTTTGAGCGTGTTTGACGAAATTTTATCAAAATCTGACAGATTTAAGAATTCTGTAAAGAATAGCTTCAGAAAATCAGATACCTATGGTTATAGGTATTTAACCGATACCTAATGTTTATAGTTACTTATTTGTTATAGTTTATTTAGGTTTTAAGGAGCCTATTGCTATTATTGTATTACTAATATTCCTGCCATACAT